GCTTTAGGCCAGGTTCGAGGTTGCAGTGAGCTATGATGAGGCCACTGCACTCCAGCCTGGGCAACAAAGCAAGACTCTGTTGCAAAAAAAAAAAAAGGACAGTCTTTGTTTATTGATTGTAGTTTGTAGTAAGGCTTGTAAAATATGTCAGAGCCAAATTACTAAGCCCTTGAATTCCAAGCTAAGAGGTTTGGACTTGATTCTATAGCCACAGGGGTTGTGGAAGGGGGTGGTGTTGGGCCTGTAGAAGAGGAGTTAAGTAATCTTTTTGGACCATTTATCTGAGTGACAAACTAATTTTTAGTTCATATTTCTATGAACAAAGTAGAAACTACTTTTCATCCTAAACCATGAGAGTTGAGAGGAAGAGGCATCTTGGCACAGGTCCTCCTACTCAGACTCTACTTGTTACCCACAGGATTGAATTTAAGCCTATGACTTTTTAGCTAAGATTTCATGGTTGATTCCTTTCTTTTTGATGACACCCCTTTAAAACTTGGAACACATTCATCCCAAATTCTTTTTCTTCTGAACTAAATGACCTATACTCTTCAAACATTTTCTCGTGGTTCATCTTCTCAAGTCTGTCAGTCATTTATTGAAACATCTCTGGGTCCTCCGTATTATCCACACTTTTAAAATGTAGAACCATAAGTGGTTATGTTGTTTTGTTTTTAAGTACACCCAGATTGCCTAGAGTATGGAGTTCTTGAGTTGTTATACCTAATCTTCCTCTCCTTTCTCCCCTATTATTATCAGGTAGCCATTAAAATTGAATATATGTGTTAATTTCTTAAAACAGGCATATATTAGTAATTGTAAAAAAGTTAGCACCCATTTTAATACTTTTAATACAACATCGGTATGATGGAATCAGACAATATTAAATTGTGGTCCTTGTTTTGCTATTGACTTGCTGGTGTTCTTCATCAAGTCAGTTTCCTCTTTGAGATTTAATTTCCTCATCTATAAAAGTTCAGGTTAAAGTAGATCCACACAGTGGCTTTTAAACTTTCTTTTAATCACAGCCCATATTAAGGAATAGGAGGGCTGTCCAGAAAGTATCCAGCCACGTAACTGTTCATGTTATATTAACAATGCCTGGGCCGGGCGCTGTGGCTCACGCCTGTAATCCTAGCTCTCTGGGAGGCCGAGGCGGGCGGATTGTTTGAGCTCAGGAGTTCGAAACCAGTCTGAGCAAGAGCGAGACCCCGT